TGGTCATGTTTTGTAAACTGTTTTGCCAATTAACAATTTTGTGAACAGCTTGGAGAACTTCAATCTTAAATGTTAATCTCTAAACTTTACTCTCTCAAAAAGTGCAATACGAAAAATGCTAATTTCTAAACGTATAAAACCTTATATCATATTAGATGGAAGACATTTTTACAAATTAAATGTAACACATTTATTTTATTAATTGTTTACAATTGTTATTTAAACTGGAGTGTCTATGACCTTTAGAATTAATAATACATGACAATCTTCTAAATACCAGCGATGTTCAAAGTTTAAGTCTGGCCTTGAGTGAGTCTTTAAGTTAATTTAGCAGTACATCAATTTGATTACAGTACAGACCTTGACTAGATCTCCCAATAAACATCTGTTTTGCATTTCTTTGTCATTCAGAAATGAACCCACTGCATTATTGCCCTGTTTCATTCTTTGTCAGTCAGGAAGATGCTCTGTTCCTGATATGCTGTATTACATGTAACATTAGTGTAAATTGAAAAGTTTTCCAAAAATTCCTGGGGATCATCAATATTTTTGAGGGGACAAAAAACAAACTTTTTTTTTTGTTTTCTTCTTTTGTCCTGAAACTACACTGGCAAACAAATGCCACCATATGATAGATAAAAACTCTGTTACACACTCTGTAAGACAAAGATATACAACAGAAAGAGGCTGCTAAATAAAAACAATTTGCTGTCACAAAAAAATAAAAGCTCGTGTAATAATGCTGGATGCTATAAACAAGTTAAAGACTACAGAAACTGTAAATTTACAGTCATATGTTTATATTACATATGTATATATATATATATATATATATATATATATATATATATATATATATTATTTTTTATTTATTTATTTATTTATTTATTTTTTACTATTTTTCAAGGCTGCACTTTTAAAAAGAGGAAATTATCCAGAGAGCTGTTCCAAACGAAATTTCTTTTTGTTTTACACTGGTGTAAACAAAATGACAAATAAAATCTGTCTAAGTCTAAGTCAGAAAGATGTGGGTATTAAAAATAATGTACATTTAAAGGCTTGGCTGTAAACTTTTAGAGTTTTATATAACAGCAGCATATTCTGCAGCACCATATGCTGCAGTCCTGTCTGACTTAGTAGGTGACTCCCCCTAGAGGTCCTGTGCATATTTGTTTTGTTGAACTAGTTTGCTTTTGTTTGTTTTTTGTCCTTGCTGTTCTCTATTCTTAATTAGAATGAATTAATTAGTCTGTGGTCAGTCCAAAACTCAACTGCAAGGCTTTTGACTCGAATACATACACACATACACACTTAAGTTAAAATCTCTGCACTGGCTACCTGTTTTGTGTCATGTTCAATGTAGAATCTAACTGCTCACTTTTGAAGATGAACAGGTTTCTGCCTACATCTGCAAACTAATTGGTGAGGAGAGGTGAGGAGAGTAGTGAGAGCTGCAGAGAAGATCGTCGGGGCTCCTCTTCCCTCCATAAAAGACATTTCATCCCAGCATTGCGTGTCTCGTGCCTGTAACATCATCAATGTCCCCCAACCCCCCCTACCATAGATTGTTCTCCCTGCTGCCCTCTGGGAAGAAGCTTCAAAGCATCCGATGCAGGCCCAGCAGATTCCAAAACAGCTTCTTCCCCACTGCCATTAGACTGCTGAATGCTGAATAAAACAAAGATTAAAGTTGGAAAAACTGTAAATCTTATCTCATTTCTATGTTTACATTTAATCACCATGTTTACATTTGATCACTGGTGAACCTTAAGAAATGTAAATGTCTTCAGAGCTGTGCAAAACGAAATTTTGTTTTGTATACACTCTGTTTGTACAAAATTACAATAAAGTTTGTCTAAGTCTAAGTCTAAAAAAAACTGTTAATGGATCCATTAACCTGCTTTAAAACTTTTTGTGATTTTCAAGCTAACTTATTCCAAAGCTACACTCTCTGGAGTCAGTAGACATCTGTAAAAAATTACAAAATATCTATTTGTTTAAAGAAGCATTCAGGTCCTAACTGACCCAGTGGTGTCACTTTTTGTATTATTCTACTTCGTTGTTCATATTATGTTTTTTTTATTATTGTGAAGTTAATTGTCTGTGAAAAGTGCTATAAAAATTAAGTTTACTTTGGGTAAATACAGTTTTCTGCTTGTGATAAGGTAACAGAGGGCCCAGGCAGGGCAAATTTCCAGCTCAAAGTCACGCACACTGACCAGTCAGCCGCAGGGATAACTCCCTTATCAAAAAGCCATGACACATCATCAATTGTGACACTGTCACATATCTCCCCCACTTTTCACAAGCCCGTCCTCTCACTCCACACAGGCTGCCACTACCCTTTATGAATTCATAGATCGTTTACTATTATAACACATAGGTCCTGGGAGCAACACCAGAATGTTGCAAAGTATGCAACAGAGGACCCAGGCCCTATGTATACTTTGCCACGTCTGTTTTCTTCTGTTTATAGGCTGTGATAGCAGTATATTACCTTTGCATGTGTTTTGCTGGTTGTAGGGCTTAACTTCTCTCCACTGGGACACTTTTTGCTGAGGTTTTCTTGTTTTGTTGCTTCACAAAGGGTGCACTTAGTTGAAATTTATGAGACTTGCAGTATTTTAGATGTTTTTCTTGCTTGTGGCTCAGTAAACTGAAGTCAGTTTTCCTAAATGTAAGGTTAATCTATATTTTAAGTAAGTGGATCATTACTTGTTTAAGATTAATTTTTCCTTAATGATTAAGTAATAATATGAAAGCCAAATTTGCATTAGACAAAGGTAACTTTAAATCAGTTTTTTTTTAAGTGTGACAAGAAAATAACAGAAAAAACACTTTTAGGGAGTGAATACTCTTCCATTAGACTATAATCCAAACCAATCACGGTTCCCAAACTATGTTGTAATTATTGGGTTGGGCCATTAATTATAGCTGTCACATGCTAAGAAAAAAGATGAACAAAACCACAAAAACAAACTGGAATAGTTTTACGTTTATAATCATAACAATTACTAACTTTAAAAGTACAGGGCTTGTTTAAACCAGAATAATGTTTTCTGGGACATTTTAATTGAGATCATCCTCTAGAAAAAACAGATTGATATATTTTAATAAGAGTCTTTCTCTTAGAGTTCTTAAATATATAAGTAGAGCTGCCTCTGTAGTCCAGTTTCCAAGGAGAGCAGAAAACCTAATTTATTTATTTACTCTGTGTGTAATTATTTACCCAGTCACCCAGACATCTGCACTTGCAGACACCAGTTAACTTGACAGAAATGTTTCACCTGCATGGTGTGAAGTTTGGAGCTGATGTTGCAACAGTTTGAATTATAAAACCAACTATGTCATGTTTTTTGTGAAGTTCAATTTGTTTAAAAAAAGAGCTTAAATTAAAAAATTTTGTTTAACAAATGTTCTCCTTTAAGATCAGAATCAGGAAAGAATCTCCATATACATTTTTAAGATGCAGAAATCGTTACATCATTTTCAAGTCTTGTACAAAACATAAAAAGAGGGCCTTTGGTTGTGTGTTTATGTCTTTATTTGGGGTTGGTGGGTGTGTGGATTTGCCTTCCCCTCTTCCTCCTATAAGACAGCAGATTGGCTCTCCGAGAGGAGGCTCCTCTAAATATCCCAAAGGCTGCTGTGACAGAAGGGACAAAGTCAACAAATCACCTCAAACAAACCAACGCCAGCCAGTTCTAGGCTGCCAGATTCAGAATGTAAGTTTCAAGAGCTGCAGATCTAAACCAGAAGTACATCACCAAAACTGGTCCTGTAGCTGCATACATGTGGGTCATGGACAGATATCCCTTACATAAAGACTTACACATTGTTATATTAATTATAACAAGGAATTTTGACATGAAATATTAACAAAAATCAATACATAAAAGCTTACGGCTTTTTACAACTATTTAGAGATAAATGGTAGATTTATATTATGTACTCCAAAATAAAAGACAAACGTAACTTACCTTATTAATGGAGTTTATTTATTATAATAAACACAGTTGTTGAGTGAGAATCAGATAATGAAGGAATAACCAGAGCAATTAGGGTTAAAGATATGAGGAAATTTAAAGCTCAATGAGATCATAAATCCCCACCCAAAGGTTTGAATATGTTTGAGCATTTTCAAATCATCATTTGAAAGTGGAAACAGCTTTAAATGAAGCAAACCTACCAAGACCCTGCCATCCACCTTGACAGGCAAGATTAAGAGGCATATGGTAACTCTGGAGGTGCTGCAGATATCTACTGCAAATTGATGTATTCATACAAAATACAATGTATGGCCAAAAAAACGTTCTCTGCATATTACCCCCGATCCACAATCCCTCCCTGTGAAACACAGTGATGGCAGCGTCATAATGTGGAAATTTGTTTTTGCAGAGGAGGTAGGAAAGAAGGTCAGAGTTCATATAGGTGAGCAAAATGTAGGGCAAACCTGGGGGTTGGGAATGAAACTCTCCAAACAGGGATAAAGATTCTGTTTTAAATGGACACCATGTAGCAGTGTGGAAAGATTTAGATCAAAGCACATGTAAGATAAAGTCAAAGTGTAAACCTGAATCTAGAGTCTCCAAGCTGTAATAATGACTGATGGTGCTGACTGCAATGCGCTTTAGATAATTAAAGTAAAAATATTTATAAACCATGTTTTTCCATGTCAACTGTTCAACCACTCTCTGTTGATCATCTATGTCGATTGTTTGTAAAGTAGCAAAGTCTGTAAAAAATTAAAGGGATTTTCTTATGTTTGATGCAGATAAAACAAACAAATAAGGCTATGCTTCCGACCAACCAAAAACCTTTCAACATGTAAGAAATGTTGATGGAGCATCCTGTTCTTTTTACAACTGTTTGCAAAAGTACATTTTGTTGCGTATAATGACGCAAGCATGGCCTTGCCCACCAGGTCAAGGACCTGTTTCTTTTAAATGTTCACCCAAAGTCACTTCCAAGCTCAGTCTCTCCATCTGCCATAGGTGAGTTCACCCCGTGGAGACTTACCTGGAACAGGACACAGGCCGTTATGCAGCGGGCTTTGATCGGCCGGAGCGCGTCGCTCGCTCAGCAGGCGGCAGCGGCTCTGGATGGTCCACTGGCTGCCAGGAACGCCCCGGCGCTGCAGCGTCTGGAGCGCTCCATGTCCTCCGTCACTATTCCACCGCCAGAATGCATGCTCCGACCGCTGGAAGTGCCTCTGCGTTACCTGTTTGGTCCGGGCCCCTCAAACGTCCCTCCTCGTGTCTTAGCTGCACAATCCAGGCCAATTATTGGTCACCTGCACCCAGAAATGTATGAGGTAACTGCTCTGGATGTTAGTTGTAATCGTTCAACTTGGAATGCGTTTTATTGTGACTTCCAAACTCTGAAGATGTAGCTCCATTTTATATTTTTTAGAGGTCTTGGATAAACATTTTTACTATTTGCAAATATATTTTGCATCCAAGTTTGAATTATATTATATCAACTAAATGTGTTGTTTTCTTTATGTTTAACTGGAAAACGTTTGATATTTATATACTTTTAACAACCTTGTGCGTAATTACGCGCAGTCTGCAGAGCGCACACCCACTACAACAGAGAAATGAATTCAAATTCAATACAATTCAAAAATATTTTATCAATACAAAGGGAGATTAAATGTTGCAGCAACCCATCTGGTTCTTATTCACCAGTTGTTGCCGATGTTAATAGCTGTATGAAGGGAGGATCTTCTGTCTTGCAATGAATAAAGACGTCTATTTCAAGAATACAACGCAAAAGTTAAAGTAAAAGCCTTTTTCACGTTTAAAATTCGTGTCACAGATCATGAACGACATCAAAAAGGGCATCCAGTACGCCTTTCAGACAAACAACAACATGACCATAGCAATGAGCGGCTCGGGACACGCAGCTATGGAATGCGCCGTGTTCAACGTCGTGGAACCAGGGGAGAGCGTCCTCATCACCATCAACGGGATATGGGGAGAGCGCGTGGCTGACATTGCAGAGAGAATGGGTATGGTTTTTTTACGCATGGCTTTATTCCCAAACTTAACAATGAAACTGAAACTCAATTCCCAAAATATGATGTAAAGATCAATATTTTATTGGTTTGATCATTTAGTTCAACTTTTTTTTTTTTTTTGCTCTATCTAGGTGCCAATGTTCACAGGATGGTAAAACCACCTGGGGGATATTATACCAATGAAGAAATTGAACAGGTTTGAGCCCATTAGCTAATACTAAACTTCTGAACAGCCCACTTCAATAATTTAAGTCTAAGTTGGGTAATTTAAATCTTTTTTTATGTCTTAGGCCATGGAAAAGCACAAGCCGGTCTTGTTTTTCCTTGCACATGGAGAGTCTTCGGCTGGTCTCTGCCATCCAGTGGACGGCATTGGAGACATTTGCAGAAAGTAGGTTTCTATCAGACTAATCCACAATTAATTAATTTATTTATTTTTACATCTGGTCATATTTATAACAGTCCTATATCCTTTCTTCTGCAGACACAACTGCCTCTTCCTTGTCGATACTGTTGCATCACTTGGAGCAGCTCCAATTTTTATGGACCAACAAAGTAGGGGCACAAATAAAATCTAAATACATCTGCTTAGGGTTTGGCATGCATCTGATTATATATGTCTGATTGTGTTTAAAGAAATTGACATCCTTTACTGCGGTTCTCAGAAGGCTCTGAATTCACCTCCTGGGACAGCACCCATCTCTTTTAATGACAGAGCATGGTAAGACGTAGCTCTTTAGTGCATCTCTGTATGCCTAACAAAAGAACAACAAACAAAAAAGGAAATTATTAAAGTTAGTTTTATTTTTTTTTCCCTAAAACAGCAACAAGATGTTTAACAGGAAGACAAAGCCAGTATCATACCTCTTTGACATGACACATTTGTCCAATTACTGGGGATGTGATGGCCAATCAGTTAGATTGTGAGTACACTGCTTACTTTGGATTCCTTTTTTATAGTTTGTGGAGAAAAAAACTAAATGTGATTGCAAAAGGTTTTGAAAATGTACGGTAATAAGAAATACATCACACATTATTATGAAATGTTTTCAATGCTTTATTTATATCAGTTAAATATAGAAGTAGGAGGTCAAAAAGTAACGGCATACTCTGGTTTTTAGATATCACCACACAGGTCCCGTTTCTGGATTCTTTGCGCTGAGAGAGAGTCTGTCGATTCTTGCTGAAAGGGTAAATTTACATTTCAACACTTTTTCCACCATGCCACACCAACTCTATGTAATTATTTTTTTTTAAACAATTCAGAATTAAAATGTAATTTGTTCAAATCAGTTTCCAATATTGTTCAAAATGTTTATTACATTTTCCACTTAAAATATAAAGTCAAATGTAGCAGCAGGAGCAAAATGTGAACAGACCCTTGTCCATAATGGAAGTTTAAGCTACTTTTGATTTTAGTCTATGAGCTCTCCCATTTCCGGTTTTGATCAAATTTGACTCTAAAACAAAAACACCAACCTTTGTCTCCCTCTAGGGGTTGGAGGAGTCTTGGAGGAAACACAAGGAGGTAGCAGCCTACCTCTACAAAGGACTGGAAGATCTGGGCCTCAAGCTTTTCATTCCTGACAAAGTAAGACAATTAAATAGCAAAATATAACAAGCTTTTTTTGTATTTTGCTTTGCTTTTTGTTTTTCTTGATAAGTAAATGTAGAACATGTAATTAAAAGAAGAAAATGAAATTAAAGACAAATTCAGTTTTGTCAGAAGTATATATATAAAAAAAAAATATATATATATATATATATATATATATATGTATATTTATTGGTATAATGTGTTTTCATGCAGGATTTAAGGCTTCCTTCTGTCACCACCATATCAATTCCTGAAGGCTATGACTGGAGAGAAATGCTCACCTACATTATGAAGAATCACAGCATGGAGATGACGGGAGGACTGGGTCCATCCATTGGCATGGTTAGTTTAATCTCGGAACCATCAACACCTACCATTTCATTAGTGTCAGTATGGTAGATCATTTAGATGTGACTTTTAGGCTCATGGGTTGTTGAAGCATTTTTTACTAATACAAACATATGACAAAAAAAAAAAAAACGCCTATCATTTTGACAGATTATTTATGCTTTAATTTAAAGTTCACCAATGTAACAATCAACTCTATAATATCTAGGTCCAAACTAAGGAACATGCTTACATGTGTATTTTTCAGGAGAAAGCAGATATTATCTCAATACTTTTATTAACAGCTATGTAAAAGATTAGTGTTTGATTTTTCTAATGCTGTTACTGCATCACTGCAGGCATTAATGCACTCTCATTTGCAATTAGGTTATGAGAATCGGCTTGATGGGATACAACTGTGAGAAGACCAATGCTGACAAGGCACTGCATGCCCTGGCAGATGCTCTGAAGAACTGCAAAAAGAGCAAGGCTTGAGAAATCATACTCTCAAATTACTGACTCTCTATGCTTCTATAGGATGCACAGACCAGATGGAAGATTGGATGCATCCAAGAATCCCTTAGCACTATTTACTGTAATGCTTTTTGGAGCCTCTTCTTTTATATTCTTTCTTTTCATTAAAAATAAAAACTAAACAGAATCTGCCATGCTAAGTGCACTGAAGATGTCGAAAAAGTTATTTTTTTGAATTACTAAACATGTTTCTTTGTCATTAAACTGAACATGTATAATGCCTCGATCATTTCTTTAAATATTATGTATCAAACAGGTAAAACAACCCATGTTCCACATTTGTTTACACATGGGAAAGGAGGTGGGTGGGGGTCTGGTGCCAGGTCCAGCAGTTAGTTAGAAACAGGGTATGCTCAGGTAGGTCTGCAGTCAGACACAGGGCAACACAGAGTCAGATAAACCAAACAATCATGCATTATTATGTACATACTTTATGGTCATTTATATTTACCAATACCAAATTGTCACCAGAGTCATCTAAAAGTCATGTTTTTTGGAGAGTTGGATGGTAGAGTATCCCACAGGAACTCACATGAGCAGGAAGATCCTAAGCTAATATCTAAACCAAGAAACTTCGTGCTGCAAGGTTACAGTACTAATAACTGTTTGGACTTTACCTGCACACACACACACACACACACA